GGGAATAATGCCACGCAGTCCGCGCACATCTCTCTGCCGATCAGCTTGTCGGTGAGCGCAGTCTGAGTGCACGATCGCGACCGCGGTCTCGGACGTCTGGAGACCTCCCGTCTGCACAATCGAGCTTCTCGGTATCAACAATCCAGTCTTATTCTTCCCTCCTCTCGTACTGTATGAAGTACAAACTCTAAGGCTGTGCGGAGAAAAGCAGTCCCGAAAAGACCTAGAACCCTGGATTTGGGAAATCTCTGTAAATCCACTGGTGAGAATCTTTTCGGGATGGTACCAGATTCCAGAGGCTTGGAGGGTATCGATCGCTAGCATCATGCGCAACTCAGGGCACGAGGATAATCTGATCATGATGATGAGGATGGACGCGAGAAAGTTCGGAAACTCTCCCTGAATCGGTGTCGCTTCACGAACGATTTGTGACAAGAGGAATGGAAGATCAGGCGTTGCTTGTGCTGCTCGCCGAGATCGACTCACTTCTGCGTGGCATGAACGTGAGCAGGAGCAGGGAAATAAATCCGCGGAATCATCCGATAAAAGCGGAACCGGGGCGGATACTCGATCGTAGATAAGGCTGCAGACTGGGGCACGCGTTCCTCCCGATCTGTGTAGGGCGTTTCAATTTGGGAAATGCTTTGGTTTCGCAAACCGCCTCGATAGGGCGCACGATCGTTCGCTGGTGGGCCGTGCACGGAAGCGCGTGGGAGGGATCTCCATCAAGGTTTGGGGAATTCTGGCGCCCCCTCCCGAATTCAGAGGAATCCATGCGGTGGATTTTCCAGTTTCTGATAAGGCAAGCCTGCGTCTTCGGTGAGAGACGTCTCGTGCGCCGCGAAATCGGATCACAAAGAGTGAGGTGCATTTTACAACTCCAAAATCGGTCTCTCGGGACGTAATTCGATCAACAAGAACTCGGGAGCTGCTCGGCTACGGAGGTGGTCTCCTGAGAATGAACGAGCAGGGAGGTGCGACTGGAGGAGAACGCTCGATTCGAAGGCGACCAAGGAACGCAGACCTTTGTGAGAGAGTGATCGACACGCTCAAGTATTTCGAAAGTGTGCTACCCCCTTCAGTTTCGACAGAAAACCCAGATAGGTGGCTCAAAAAGAGAATCTACGCCAATGTGCGTGGGAAAGGAGAAAATGGAAAAGTGGATCCACGTCTCTTTCTGCTGACGTCATAGTCCGTCGCGTGTAACGAGGCATTTTCCGCAGGCGTAAGAGTTTCTCCTCTTGCAAAACTTCTTATTGGTTTCCACTAGCTCTCCATTTTTTCCATCCACTCTCCTCGCTCATTCTGACTGTCAAACTTACTTCAGGGTTCCGGCCGGCTGCGAGCCGTATCGAGTGTACCCTTGTGTGTTCTGGCGCTCGTTCCCCCTCCACATCCCAGGGAGTTCTCCCGTGACAAGTCTCAGGCACGAGCGGATTCCATGTCCGAGCTCTCGGCGTTTCACATGAGATCCATATCCTTAATCCAGAATCGTATATGGCGCGGTAGCCTCCAATGGTGGTCACTGACCAGGAGGATGATTTCGAGGGCGTTTTCCACCGCGAATTATTGAGGTGAACTCTCTCGATGAGTGATAAGTGATAAGTCAGCCCCAGTTTCACTCGCCGCCGAGTGGATCGTTCTCGGATCGCCCTCTCCGGGTATCGGGCCCTCAGAGACAATGATAGTTCGTTGTCCCCTTGACGACCTAGAGGAATTTGACATCGGTTAGACCAATATCATCATCACATAGACAGGAATTTGCGTCAATGCCACAAGCAGGTCTGTCGGGTTCATTTCCTCGTTCCGTCTTCAGATCACTGCCAGCAGGCTCAAGAGATGTGTAATTGTGCCTCGCATGCATGAACACGATATTGCGTGCTTCGCGAGGGATCAAGCACTCTTCAGAGTCAGCTTCTCGCTGAGGTTGTAAGCGTGCAGCTATTTGTTCACACGCCGTCACCCACGTAAGGAACGTGCAAACAGAAACTCAGAATAGTAATTCTCTCTCAATCACCACGAAAGCGCCGATGCCACGAGACTTCTCGTGAACACCCCGCAGCTGAGTCTGGTTCCCCTGATTTTTGTGCTCTCTGAGATAGGGTGAGCAACGCCAGAAACCAGGCAACATTGAACGGTGATGCCATACATTTTCCGAGAAGCTAAGGAATCTGCTCCTTTAGAACCCTCGGAGCAAGAGACAGCTCTGAATATTTGGCGGCAGGTATAGGTACTTATCCCTTGCACAGAGGGTCTCTAAAGTACTCTGGATGAGCCAGAAAATGACTCTGTGAAAGCGTGGGAGAGTCGCCGGCAGAAGAATAAATTGAAGACTTTGAGGCTTACTTGGCTTCTTTGAAAGATCCTCTGATTCGCTTTAGTAACGACCCCGACATTTTGGGGACTTTCAGATGCGCCAGCAACTAATGCCCCCAACCAAATTGTATCCCGGGAAAGGATGCTCTGTTCCCTTCTAGTTTCTTGACAGAATTAGCCCGGGTCCCAAAGGGAACTGAGGTCATCGAAACGTGAGAGCAATACTTCGAATAGAAATTCAAGCTCGAGCTCCTGCGGCTGAGTAGGAAGTCCGCACTAGTCGTGCAGGATCCAGTGCAAACGTGCCGCGAAATCAAAATCGAAAATCCGCTCGACATCAAAGGAGATTGCTTATATGAACCGATCGACTGTGAAGGCGAGATCAACACGGCGGAGCAGAATCGTCGGCTTTCAGAATAGGGGATCCAAGGGCTGCCAATCGTTCGAGGAGTTCCAGGGCGCCAACACGATTTTATGAAAGCACATCGTCAAACGCTCCCCCGCAGTTTGATGGACTTCTGCCCTCTTAATAAATACTCTCTGCTCCTTAGATCAGCTCGCGTGATTCCCAGAGATCCAAGGCGCTGCCTGGGACCTTCCACCGATGCAAGGAATTGGCGGAAATCCCCAGAATCAGTTTCGAGTATCCAGTCGGGGCTCTCGTCTGCTATCGGCCCAAGTCTGCTGGTTGATAGGATAGACACATTCGGATTCTTTCCATTGAGCTTCCGGCGGATTTCCTCCGCTCAGATTTGTCTTTGGATCAGTTACCCCAGAAGTTTCGGGCTTCGGTCCTCAAAAGTGCCAGAGCGACGATAGCGGTTGCGTAGGTCCTGCTGATACCGCGCTCAGCGCTCGTTCACTTCCGCATTTCACGTGACGATGCGAGATATCATTTTGGGTGTGCCGGTACAACAAACGGCTCGTTTCACTCGTCTCGCGCGTGCACCGATTGCCTGAGCGTTCGAACGCGGAATAACTCCGCTTAAAATTTCATGACCCCGATTGTGTGTTTTACTAGCCGGATGACGCCGACGCGTGCGTTAAAAGTTATTCATTGTTTTTCCTCGCAGTCAGTGAATGGCAAACTCGACTTGAAACGATTCCCCTCCGTTTTCGATCGGGGTTGAACGGCGACAAGTGACGACGGAAAAACTCCGGGACATTTTTCCCATGCACGGTCCGAGGAGTTTGAGTATCCCATTCATCGGTGACGAAATATGATTCGAAATTCGAGTCCATTATCGAGAGTGGTGATTGGCGATGGTCTGGATGTCGCGCTGAATGAGATCTTCTACGAGCGGGAAATTTATCTCGTTTCGCGAAGCAGCTGTCCGTTCGGATCGCTCCGGAGGAAGCGATCGTCGAGTCTGCGTTGTCTGGCTCAACAATGCCATGCTGCGATTTTTATTCCTTGGATGACGGCGATCCGAGATTTTTCTTTCATGAAAACAAGGAGCATGTTGTCCGGAACAGATTTAATTCATTTCACTGCAGCCAGTCTTCTTGGCACCGGAAATGACGCACGGAGTCTCGAGTTACGACAGATCAAGCCTCTTCTCCCATGCTCCGTCGGAGGGAACCGAACCCGGACAGCTCGGCAGATCAGGGTTTTCTCGTCGAACCGTCATGTTAGCATCGGAAGCGATGAGAAGCCGAAGAGCCCGATTCTGAGGACGCTCAGAGACGCACACGTACCGTTCAAAATCGCATCACCGCATGATTCGATGAGTCCGTCGCGGGGGAGCCTTCCGATCCTGCTCTACTCCTAGGCGGACAAAGAGCCAAGTTCGAATAATCGAACCCGATGGAAACCATTCGATCCCTCTCGAGAATAAATTCCTCATTCCGGAAAACTGCCTTCTCCAGGCCGTGATGGAGCATTCCTGTGCAGTCTGGATAAACTCATCCCCGAGTAGGTGCTTGATTCCCGCCATCTTGTGCGGGAATCTCGAACGATTCGCTTCGGAACAGATTCAGGGGCGGGGAAGGATCTCTCTCATGACCCAGGAGAAGATAGGGCATCGGGAGCAAGAGAACAATAAAAATACCTCACTTCACCATGAGTCGTTGATCAGAACGGTCTCTGGGAGCTTTCCTTCAGAAGGCAGCAGCTTTCTTCGGAATAATTCATCGCAATTCCCGGTCTCGTGTCGCCAGCTACTCTGATACCCTGACTAGGGGTAACATCTATGTCAGCATCAAAGGAAAGCGGAACGCTCGCTTCGAGCGGAACCGAAAACAGCTCCCAGCTGAGCGTGAGAGCCCGCTCCTCTCCTTCCTACCCGAAAGCATGGCGATCAGACAGGTCAAACTCTCTGAGATTCTGTCTGGAGACGCGAGATCGAAGTCCCAGAACGGTAATCATCTGTCTCCAAAATCAGCTGACTCCCAATAATCAAAAATGACAATGACCTCTCATGATTGGGGTCTGCGAAACACATCGGACCGAATAATCTACGATCGAGCTCATGAATAATGCTGATCATCTGCCGGGAATAACGAAGTCGGGACGCGCTTATCGCATCCTCTAGTAATCTATCGATGTCTCAAAAAGTCGACTTTAATCAGGGTAAGACCTCGACCTACATACATCAGAAGCCTCGCTCCGAGACTGTCTGACTTTGCTATTGGTGTCAGCCGTAGCCAATTTATGCCGACTTACGATCAGTCTGTTCCTAGGGATGGACAATCGCTTCAAAAATGTATACGAGAGCATAAAAGAGAAGCACGCTCCGTGAGTTTCCTGATTCGAGAATCTTTTATATGGGGGGTGAGGGGACATATATGTACGTCGTCGTCCAGACTGCCAGGGATAATTGAACCGGGAAATATTCATGCAGTATTCTGCGAGACTGTGGAACCCAGATGATGTCGTTCATCCAGAAATACTACGCATATGATCCGACACACTTCCCGGCTGAACGCTACGCCAAGGACCAATGCATGCTTTATCTGCAAGAAATTCTGCTGCTCTGTTCGCAGAAAAAAATGACCGTGCAGCAACTCCGGGAGGGTGTCGAGAATTTGTACTTCCTCTCCTACGTTCTGAGCTCGACCCACGTAGCCGCTTTCCGAGTACGTACTAGCTCCGTTCACTGCGCTTCAGTCTCATAGCACTCACGATGCCTGCAGTCATTCTCGGAGTACATGCGGAGGTGTTTTGTCTCTTTCCGATCCTCCGCATAGATGTTGATCGAGGACCTTGTATCGATAGTGAGCATGTCTCGAGAACTGATCAACACCGCAGAACGCACGGCTGGATGCAAAGTGACAAACTGGGAGGATGTCATAGGCTTCATGAAACAGGAAGCAGAAAACGTCTCGTCGGAAGCGAAGTTCGTGCTCGGAAGGATTTCGGACTTCGCCATATCCAAATTGATAGGTAAAGAATCGGCTTTCCTCGCTCCGTAGCCGGACATTCCATCACGGAGAGACGTCCCTCAACACTCCTTCCTCCAGGGGCGGGGAGTTTCGGTGCGGTGTATAAAGCGAGGATGGGCAGAGCGCAGTGCGTCGTCAAATTCGTCCCAACCAAAGCGCCGCCGCACGTGGGAGCTGCCATCGCGGATAAATGTGTCGCGTCTATGGTCAACCATCCCTGTGTAGTGAAATACTACGCTTGCTTCGCGGGCAAGGTTGTCATCTACATTGAAAACAATTCTCTGAGACATCTCGATGCTCGATAGAAGGCTGTTGCAACTCTCTGACACGTTCAAGGATGTCTACGTGACAGCGATGGAATATATCAGAGGCGTAGATGTGATTCATCTTCTGAAAGTGATGGGCAAGCTCTCGGAAAAGCTCTGTCGGGTCATCGTCTCACAGGTGGGCTTAGCACTGATCCATTTGCACCTCAAAGGTTTCATACATCGTGACGTAAAGGTATTGTTCCTCTTCACTACTGCGCATGTACTTTCTGGGCCTTTTGGAAAAGCCAATTTCGCCTAGCGAGCCCTGCTACTTTGCAGCCATCAAATATGATGATCACTGCTGGATGCCGCGTGAAATTGATTGATTTCGATACGGCCAGGGTCTGTATCGGGAAATATGATACACGCAAGAGCTGGGGCTTCATGCGGAGGACGGCCAAGGAGTTCGAGAGCGGCGAAATAGCGGGAACCCTCACATTCATGGCTCCAGAGATTTTCAAAAACTCGGGGTACGGTCGGGCACTAGACTGGTAAGTTTCATTCTCCACACGAAAAGTCCGACGCGAAGTTCCTCGGCCGTGGCTCGGGCTCATGGGGCCGAAGGGAAATCGTTTGATCCATTTGTGGGTTTCCGATAGGTGGGCTCTCGGAGTGACAACATTCGAGCTAATCACCGGCCGCTTACCATTCCCTGTAGAGGATTCCATCGACAAGACGAAGGAGGCGATCTGCAACGCTAGATACGAATGGCCCAAGGACCGAGGTTTCGACGCTCAGCTCCAGAATTTCGTCATGCGGTGTCTCACGGTCAGGGCTGAAGGTACATCTCGTCAATTCCGATAGCTCACAAACCTCTTCCTGGTGCCGATGGTAACGGTCGACCTCTCCCGATAGACAGGTTGGCCTCGATCCATTACAACGAGTTCCTGAGGCACCCATTCTTCGAAGCACCCGATTGGCGCTTGATTGAAACATCCCCGAAGTTGTTGGACTTTCAGCCAATCCAGGAGCTTCTTAGAAATCGCAAATCGATACCCGCGGAAAAGTGGTCCCCGGAGGTGAATACGAGCGAAACGAAGACGCTCTCCAGGGCCTTTGATGGGACGAGCAAGATGATATATTCTCCGAGCATATCGCATCCATTCCCGCTGTTCCACGTTCACTGTCGGACGTAATTCCGCAGATATCGCCGGGAGCTGCTCAGAAAAAATCCCGTCTCTTCAAAGAACTCAGCTTCGAAGACTCACTGGAGCCTACGCCGAATATGTTTGCCTACTCGTCCCCGGGCTTCATCCGTGCGAGAGAAGCTGTGGAGAATCACCTGATACCGGACAATCAGACTCTGTACGACCCGCCCGAATTGGTCTATGAGGAGGATGATCCGGAGGCCTACTACTTTGAGAATTTCTGACGGAAAAAAATTCGAGTGTGTTATTCACTCTCGAGAACTCAGCCCCTCCGCGGGATTAAGGTCGACTTCTCACGGTTTCGTGCTGCATCAGTCGTTGCACTTGGAATGAGCCATTGAGTTTTGAACTGAAATTTCCCGAACGGTATTGAGGTGTTCCGATAGGAATGTTGCAGCCACGAAGAATTTCACCACGCGGTCGAATGACGTTTGAGGGTGGTGTTCTCTTCAGCTACCGCCGTCCTCGAAATCTAAATCTTCTCGGCGGCTCTGGAGAAGTATTTGGACTTTCGGCGGAAGCCGAAGAGCACTGCAATTCCATCGGAAATCGTGGCTCCCCAAATCTCCTTCGGGACGTTAGTATATCCGAAGGGCGAATATATCTGACGCTTCCTATTTTCCCTCCCCGTGGCCTGCCCATGCAGGCGGATGTCCTGAGCGGACGACTTACCTGCTTATCATGCGACACGACTTCTTGGAGCGCTCGGGCTGCCAGCTGAAATCGAATCTCGCGTATTCGGTAGTTCGTGTAGAGAATCGTCACTCGTCATCGCTCTGAGATTCGAACTCTCACTCTCCGGGACTTATTGATGCAAGCAATCGACTGCAATAACTGACTCGCAGCTAAAACTGTAAAATTAGTTCACCGCACGAATCAGCTTAACTAGGATTCGAGACCCAGAACTCAGACGGGCGGTCCTTTCTCGCTCCCAAAAGAGTTGAAACGTGACATCAAAAATACTTCTTATCCATTGTGCGCCCGAAGTAAGGTATTTGCCCCTCAGATGTAGCTGCGAGTTTCTGCTTCGTCGAATCAATGAGGGAAGAGACGTAGTACCTGTGAGGGAAGATAGTTACAAAATTCTTTTGTCAAGTTCATAATCTTGTCTTGAGAAGTGCAGTGGAGCAGGCTCTGTTGCTTGGTAACAACAGCGAGGGCCCCACTATCAATTATTCTCTGATGTAGCGGACCAAGCTCCCGCTCCATCGGGTGAGCAAAAGCCGCAGACGATATCCTAGAGCTTGACAGATTCACGTAAATACGAGAACAATATCAGGGTCCGTCGAGCGACTCCTGTCGAGCCGGGTCCGGACACCGATTTTTCTCGACTCGTGGATACATGAGCATTTCTTCCGCCGCTGTTCCGGATCTCTCCCCAGGAAGGTCAAATACCTCGATTCTCGAGAAGAATCCCCGCTATCCACTTAGCCTCACGGGGTTACAAGAGAAGGAAGCTCCTGAGCGCCGCTCCCTCCCGTGGATTGATTCTTGTATGCTATGTGCAATCTCGACGCGTACCGCATCTGTGGAAGCTTTGAAGGAGAAGAGCCGCAGACTGGTTCGTACGCTCCTTCGAAAGCCGACTCCAGATCAAAGACCGAGTGGAGTATCTATGGAGGACGTGTTTCGCTTGTTTTCATGAATTTTCAGCGGAAACTAAGCTCAAAGACGGTTCTCTACTATTCGATCATGCGGCGCGATTTCCTATCACCGCTCAGAGCACCAGAGGAGTGGGCGGAGGGAGTGTTCACTGAAGCTTAGCAGAAGGTCTCGCATACCTTATATGATGATATTTTTTCAGACTACATCTCGATATCATAGAGATGGATTAGCCTCGCGAAACAGATCCCACAAAGGAACCTCTCGAGAACCAAGAGGAACTTCGAAGGAATGCGTGGAACCTTCTTGCGGTCGACATGAACTTGCGTCGACCCGCATTCATCGAGAGTCTCGGATTCGGATAACGCGAGTCGTTGAACTCCTTCCTCTATCCGATGAGCTCTTGCACAACATCTAGGGGACCAAGACTCGTCGAGTGACTAGGGTACCATGTAACATTGTCGGTGCATATCCTTGCAGAGAAGATTCTCTCTTCTCGGAATCCGTGCGCTGCTCGCGGAAATTTTCTTTAGCGGTTCTCGCGGGACTATATTGGAAATATACCCCTGTCGACGGTGTGCGTGACGCCTTGGATCACAGCGAAGGAGCGCTGAGCCTGAGGAGCTGTTGTACGAGCAGTAGAACGAATCCCAGAGGAATCAAGGAGCTGCGTCGAGTGGGTTGCCATAATCCGGATTTCTATGAGCTTGTCGGTCAGTGTTCTGACTCGATGCTGGCTCTGATTAATCGCAAACGGCGCTCAATAGAGCAGGCGGCAATGATTCATCTGCCCAGCTTTCGCTCCCCAGCACGAACGAAAACAAATACGGTCTGTCCCCGATTTTCGCGTTCGGGCGCAAGTACTCGCGTAGACTGACGCAGCCTTCGTGCGGCCAGCCTGCTGCTACGCTCAGACGCGGGAAGTCTGCTCCTAGAAGGAGCCTCGTCCGCCGTAATCCAATCGAAAGCCCTTGCGGGATGGTTGGGACAGTCGGTCGAAGGTCCGTGGCAAGTTCTAAAAAATACTTTTCATTTCACGGTCCTGTGTGCTATGATGGGGAAAGCCATCCGGTCGTGTCGTGCTCTTTACTCCGACAATCACGACGGCCATTAGTTCCTGACGGCAGTGGGGCTCAGCCCCCTAGTCGAAGCCTAACTAGACATGAAACATACTTCCTTTCTCCCCCCTTTGAACAATATTCCTTTTTTGTGTCGTATCCCGGTTCAGCACAGCTCCCCCTCGAACGTGCCGTCGCTGTTAAGCAGCGTCCTCGACGTCACTCCCAGATGTTAGGTTTTCTCCCACTCGGCTTCGTTGGGGTTGCGAAATTCTCATCAGGGTAGCAAGCGCTGGATTTAGAAAGACAAAAAAAAGATGGGAACAGCCTTCAGCCTTAGATTGAAAGTGGAGGAAATTGACGAGATCGACTTTCGACTCTGATCTAGGGGTACCCCGACTGTCTGGAAGATATACGAGCCTTTGAAGAGAAGCGAAAACTAGAAACTTTGTAGCGGAAAAAGTCGTTGCCTCGAGTCGCACCGACAGCGGGAAGCCGCTTGTAAAATTCGGATGAATCGAGAAATCAGATAATTGTGAGAAATTGAAGAAATTGATAATGGGAAAAAATAAGGGTGCGGAAGTATACAGTATAATAAAGAGAATGACTACGAAATCAGGTGAGGGTCGACCCCGCCTTTTTTCTCGGTGTCTCTCCACCGCCTGAACGCGATTTCGCGAAAACTCGGGTAGTGTCTCGATTCGGGGGGGGGGGGGGCGGAGATTTTAATTCGACCCTCGTAGCTCCGATACGCTCCGAATCGCTCATCAGATCGTTCGTAGACAGAGTGCCAGTTCTGTCTTGTCTACTGACATCTGCTGTTCACAACGAGATCTGTCGATTATTATTCCTCGTACCTCGGGCTTCGAGTCACATGGAATCGCATTGGATCCGATGGTGATCCTCGTTTGATCAACGGTATTTTTAGACTCACCCATACGATCCTGAACGCAAATGAGCTTCCTTATTCGTGCATATACTGCCAAGAACAACGCGCTCGTCCTCGATGGAGACTCGTCGCGGTTGTCCAGCCACATCCCAGCTCATGTTTTTTGAGGGCACGAGACATGTTCGGGACATGTGCGATGATATACATAGTAAGAACCCCAAAATGCATTCCCGTCGAATCGCGGTCGCCCTATCAGTCTCGAAAGTGTGCCGTCTTGTTCCTTCTCCGAATGTCCTACTTCTGACTGCCATCATCTACTCCGATCAGCGGTGATCCCCGAGCGGGAGTTCCCGCGACGGAGCTCTCGGCGAACACCTCACCGACCAGAAGAACGAGTCAATGTATCGACTCCGAAAGATTGCTTGAGACTCGTACCCTTTCAGCTCCTTATCGATCACTTGGAATCGATCAGCTCTTCTCATGCATGAGCTGCGATTTTCCCTTACTTATTATCAGCTCTGAACGCTCCCATTCTAGAAGAGCTGAAGAGCTGTTCTGAGGACAATTCGTCGTGCAGACCAGCCCCCACGCGGCGCTGCCACCAGTGTAGGTGCCCGCTGCTTTTTATTAGCTTGCCAAGCTTGTATCCCTTGAAACTTCATCGAGGAAGGGTCATCTCCTCATTGCTCTTGTATGGAACGCGTCCCGCCCACTGAAGACAGTTCATCAGTCGGCCTCAGGATTTTGAAGCTTTCGGCTGAAAGTCATACCCTCTCATTCGTGAAGAGAATTCTGCTCGGATATCACGATGTAAAATTCGAGCTCGAGAGAATATACCATGGACTGGAAATCGGTCGCTCTATCGCACCGTCGCCGGTCGAGTGACGGATGACTACTCGCGACAATGGGAACTCTCCCTTTGCTGCCCTTCATCTGGAACATTGTCCCTGCGCGACGGAACTACTCGTACGGCTCTCGAGTACGATACTCCGTCCATCGCAAGCGACTTTGCATCTCAAGGTTGACCTTGGCCGTCTCAAGGCATTTTCATCGGCCAATAAAAGAACTCCAAGTTTACTCGCGGTGCTGACAGTCCGAGAAGGGTCCAAGACCGCTCCCAGCATACATTTTGTTCCAAGCTGTATCAAGCACGGCGAGGGTGGGACTCCACAATTTTGTAGAGTGCTATTCGGGGTGCTCATCGCCTGAATCCGATTCATACTTGACTGAAGGACACGTCAGCTCCACGTCGTCCCTGCCTCGCTCTACTAATGTCCAGATTTGCATCGCCCACAGACGATGCAAAATAGTGTATCCTCACGATCCGACCTCCGCTGTCTTTCGAGGTCTCGAAGATTGCTCCTCGGCCTTCCGAAAGGGTGGGAATATCCCGCATGATCCGTCGTGAAAATTTTGCTCCGGTACTGCTCGGAGCCCGATGTTTTGATCATCCGATCGCTTACCTCTCGCATGAGAGCGAGCAAGATGAGCTCAAATCAGATTTACATAGGAGCGACGGGAAAAGCCGAAGATTCTTCTTGTGCTGGGAATTCACTCGGATAAGGTTCGTCCGCCAATCGACGAGCCGCTTCGAGCGGATGGCGGATCCAGATATTCTCCGAGAGGGGGAAGGAGGGTGCGAATCAGTGAATCAGAGGGATTCCGCTTAGGAACG